GAGGGCGTGGTGCAAGAAAGTGACGATCAAGAGGGCGCGGTGCAAGAAAGTGACGATCAAGAGGGCGTGGTGCAAGAAAGTGACGATCACGAGGGCGTGGTAGAAGACAGTTACGATCAAGAATCCGTGACAGTCAAGTTCGTTCCTGATGATCAAGTAGGGTATGCAATAAATGAGCCTACAAATATTTTATCACCTTTCAGCAGTATTCCCAATGAAATTCTTGAAAAGAYTGTGTATTTTGCAATGCTGTCGGCATCAAAGGACTTTCCTGGAAATACATGTCAGCTATACAGACGTTTACGTGCTGTTAACTCAAGGTTTAGGAAAGCTGTCGGACAAAGATGCAAGGAACTTTTACCAAAGATCTACATATCCGGAGGAGTTCAGACTACTGTTGCAAGTGTGCGTAGTCTTTTAAAAAAATATGGTCGTTACAGTGGACTTGTAATGAATCTACGAGAAATMATCTCTGATCCAAAATGGGCAAATGCGTGGCTCGAATTAAATGTTCTATTGCATGGATGGTATCAAATCGTTAAMATCTTCTGGAGAAAGAAACACTAAGGACATAATTGTTCAAACACACTTGCATTACAATACGTTCCATAGTTCCAGTTAATCCAACCGTAATTATAAAAAAAAAATATGTGTCATGCAGTTTTCGCTGATGACGTGCTCAGATCGTACTAATATCAATAAAGTTTTTTTTTGTTTACATGACCAAACGATATTGCAATTAAAAAATGATAAAGATAAAAAAATAAAAATATATTTCCTTCAAAAGATGTTCCCTCCAAAAATTCTTTATTTCTTTCCGCGCCTTTAGAGTCAAATTATTAGAAGACGACAAAGACACCATAAATTAAATCAGCCCATAAAATCACAAGATAGCAGAAACATCTAAATATGACATTTCACGGTCAATCTTGCAGTGAAATTTTAAGGTGAATTTCTTTAGCAGAAAACCCATATGTGACGAAACGACATCACATTTCTATTAGTTGTTGATATTCGAGATTTATTGCTGACATCAGGACAATTTTACCCATTGTCACGTGATATGTGACGTCAGGTACTTTGACAGGCAATGCAGATCAATCAATGCTGACTTAAGTCATTATAATTCATTTATATTTCACTGCACCGTTGTTTATTACCTTTATGGTTGAGGGGGTATTACATTTATGGTGGGTTTGGGTTATTACATTTATGGTTGAAAGTTATTACATTTATGGTGGGGTCGATTATTACATTTATGGTTGATGATTATTACATTTACGGTTGGTATTACATTTATGGTTGATTTTTATTACATTTATGGTGGGTATTACATTTATGGTTGTTATTACATTTATGGGTAATACAAATGTCGAGGTAGTGAGTGTAAGAGTACAGGGTCCGCAGTAATTGGCTGCTGCGGTGTCTCTTCCCAAACTAGGGGCGATCCATTAGACTTTTGAGGGAGGGGAAGGGATGGCAGATTTTGAAAAAGATTTTAAAAAATTCCTGAAAGGAAAAATTTTGAAAAATCTCCACTAAAGGTTTTGCAAATGGGAAAAAGTGCAAGCTAATAATCTACGCTGATGTCACGGAGCAATGTAGAATGATTATTTAATTCTTGTTACATGTCTGTTTAGTTTGCTTTTTAATCATTATAACATTT